CAAAAGTGATTGTACTGTTTGGATCAATATGTACTTCCCAGGGTAGAAACCTCTGAATGAGCCCTAATATTTCAAGACAGTCCACCTTACTAAGCACTGGATCATATGTGACTCTGGACATGTAACTACATAAGATACTGAAAGTACCTGTAATTATCCTTATAGGATGAGAATGGTAAGTAATAAGCAGCTACAGGATTGCTACTTTCCTACTTGCCAACATGTGACTAGTCTCATGTAGGAGTGGGACAGCAATACTGTCACGCAATATGCAGAACACTGGGGTGGAACCAGATCAGTGGCTGTGGCTCTAGTGTAATTTGACTGGGACAATGATTTCATTTCTCCAGGCCATAGAGGGCTGGACTTAATGAATGCTATAGTCCTTTTTCTCCTCTACTATCCAATGGTTAGAATTTCTACGGCCCAGTACTTGTCTCTTTTCTGTGATAGCTCCACAGCAGGGACAGAAGTCACAGCTAGAACTGAAGACCCTCTCCCACCGGACCTGATCAATTTGGGATCAGAATTTAGGGAATCCAATTAAAGCAGCATCTAAACTTGCATCTTGATCATGGGGGGGTGGGTAAATAAATGAGAGAAACACAGAAAATATCCCTTTCCAAATTAGCAGCCGCCATCACATAGATAATTATTTCTTTGGGGTATCTGAGCTGTGGCTGTACATACCATATGTCAGAGAGAATAGTGTAAATTATAAAAGAGCACAAGCAAAATGCAGACCGCACAGAGAAAGAAATCTTTGGTATCTTTGGTGTCATCAACACGATTAAAATTACAAATGGAAAAAGTCAGTGAGGTAGCCTTCTTTGGTTCTCACTAGAAATAGAAAGTTTTTCCTTTTTTTTTTTCTTTTTTTTCTGCTTTTTTTTCTCCTTTACTGTTTTGTTGCTTTACACACACACACAGAGTTCATTCTTGGAAGCAGCTAGTGTAAGGGTTTTTCTCTTTTTTGTTTATGATTTTTTTTAAAATTTATTTTTCCAGTTTCCACATAGAAGCCCCGAAATCCAGGCTGGTGAAGCAGGGTCTCAGCTTATGTTTTCTGAATGCACAGGTTCAGGTTGAGTAGTCATTGCTTGTCCACAAAATTTGCTCTGTTGTTCTGACAGCAAACAAACTGCAGTGCTCTCTGTTGTTTTAAATAAAAAATATAAACTATACAATGCATCTTTCACAGATGCTGAATAAATTAAATAAATAAGTTACAATATGAAGGCTCTGAGGGCCCCAATAAGAGGTGAAGTTCGCCTGGTACCAGGAGGGGCTGTGAACTTAAATAATTTAATAATCATTAAACTATTTTAAAAGTTAATTCAAGAAGGAAAAATACACCAAATTCTTTTCTTTTGTAACCTGTATTTCTTCCCTGTCTGTAACAGAATTTCACTGCTTATAAAGCAAACTAAATTTCGAGAATATTCTAAATAGGATTTTGCATCTCTGATGCACCATTGGTCTAGATTTTGATAAATAAGTACAAGGAGTAAAGTCAAACTAAAGAAAAAAAATCATTAAATATTTACCCAAATCCTATACATCTGTGTGCTAGACACTAATTTAAATAAATTAATTACATAATGATATTTTGCTTGGGTCATAACCCAAAGAGACAAGATAAAAAATATTTTGGGGGATGTCTTCATTTTTGATGAACAAACTGTATAATCCCTTTCTATAATCTAAACAAATATAAAACAGGAAAGTATAACCTCTAAAACTTTCTCATGTTGAAGACCATTTAGGTGTGACAGTCATGAGAAAACATAATCACCACTCCCCACTAGCTAGTGCTACTGCCAGTATCCGAAGACCACACACTCAATATCTCAACCTTGGAAGCCAGAGCCTACCTTTTCCCATTGGTTTGCACTTATTTTGCTATTTTTTCTGTCTTTTTCTTTTTTCACTTTTTTCTTTTCTTTTTCTTTTTCTTCCTTTTTCTTTTGTCCTTTTCCAGATCTTTGGATATAGCTTTGGTTATGAGAAATCCAGAATAAAGCTATTTAACCGAAGTCATCATCACTCTAACTTAGATGATTAAATAATTCCAAGGTTCTTTTATAAACTGAGTTTATCTTGGATGTGCCCAAATGAAAGTAATTCCAAATGTAAACAAGGAAGATGCTGGGATACTTTTTTTTTATATTCCTGTACTTTGGTTTTCAATGTTACAATAAATAATAATGGAAACATTGTATAATGTATAAGTACCACATACATGTTGCAAGATGGTTTAAATTTATTTATTGTAACAGATTACAGTATATATGTATTAAGCATGTCTGTACACACTTGCATGTACACAGTCTAGATACCTATAGGTAATATGTAGATGTTATGAAAATACATGTCAAAATATGTATCTAAATCTGTATACATCCAAGCTGACAGACATAGGTATAAGCTTTAGGCAAACTTATCTACCAAGATTTATGCTATGTGAAATGCCTGTCACTAAAAATGGGGCCAAGTGAAAGACTTCTGGGGAATGAATAAGGCTGAAGCACTGCTTTTTCTTACACATATTTTCTCCACTAAAAATATATTAGCTTATTAATTTCAATCAACCTAACTCAAAAGCTACAAGGAAAGGCTTGGGCTGTAGCTTTCACTTGCCTCAGACTGTCATTATCATTTTGATATCAGAGGACAATGAGCATTTAAAATCCTATAGGGTTCATACCAGAGCGCACCAGCCTCAATTAAAAATTTTGTATCTATCTGAGGTCCTATTTAATTTAATAATGATTTTGGTATTTCATAAATATTTTAGGGCTTTCTAAAACAAACATTCTCCCTCCACCATGACCACCTTGGAAAGAAACAAGTCATTGGTAGACAGTAGGCACTGGAACATCCATATTTAAAGCCAACATCATCTTGTGAAATTTATACAACCAACAGGGGTACTATTCTTCTTTAGTAAGGATTTTTGTGGCCTTATTTTAAAGCTGAAATCTATTGTTTCAGAGGTAACTTGATCTTAATAAAGGTATAAAATTATTAAGCTATCCAGTTTTGCCCATTACTCTCAGAAAGTTATAGCTTTTCAGTTCTATCCTTTCTTCCTTTACCACTTCCTACTCACTTTGCTGGTCAGGCTGATGAATCAGAGCATCAGCAACAAGAGCAAAAGTCAGCTCTGATCTATTACGAATCCGGAGGGTTACTGTCAAAGCACTTGTGTTTGGGCCTCGTGGTCAACCTTAACCACAGATATCATCTCTTTCTCTCCAGCTTTTAAAGAGCCTGTTATTCAGCAAAACTAGAACCCAGTCTATTCTCCTTAGATTTTGAAAAATTCCAATTGTACAACCTCCGGAAGACCCAAGAGATCCAAGTTCATTGCAAAGGCAAACTGTTAGGACACTTTAATAATGACAGTCAAACAGGTACACCTGTAATTCAACAACATTTTCAAAATGTATATCTCCCTGTACCTAGGCAGTTGAATTTTAAAAATCTGCTCAATTTTAATTTATTGACATTAAAAGGTGGGTGCCCAGAATAGATAAAATGATTATTTTTAAAGTATTCATTTTGGGCTTTGAAATATATTGTTTAATTTAGAGTCTATGGTCATCCCACCCTCAATGCAAGTGATCTTGCCTGGTTTAGAAAAAATGTATACATACCACATTTACCTTCATAATTTGACTTATTTTAGATTGAAATGAACATGACCTTGGAATCCCTGAGTCCACAACTGCAAAGAGCCTATGAGAGAAGAGTTGTTGCACAGGCAACTTTGTGATTTTTCCAGAGAAAAGGATCATGCTGGGTCCTTCTTGGATCAGGGAAGCCTGTTCATTTGGTACAACCAAAATATTCTTACATTTGGAGTAAGCTTTTAAATATTGATTTTGAGTTTCATTATTATTGCCATTTCCTTTTTAAAATGGTCTTCTTAAAATGGTTCTGTTTTTTAATTTCTTAGAATGAAAAAATTCTATCCCCGGTACTAAAATCACATTAAGAACAAAAATAAAGCCTAATTACATAAAGAAAAATATCTTTCTACTTAATAGCTATAAGCATTAGGATTTCTGTTGCCTCAACAGAGTTAAATTTGTCTAAGATCTGTTCCTTCTTGCCCTCCCTTTTGTTGCTGATGGCTGAGGAATACCCGTCACTTCTCTTGGATTGAGGAAATGGATTCTAAACTATAACCAAGTCCAACTGGTTATTTTCTCTGAAATTAATAATTTAAAACAATTTTTAAAAATCCTTAAAGAAACTCACTGCGTTAAATTCTATGACCTTTCAATCTTTTTTTTTTTTTTCAGATTTCTAACAAGTTGAAATTCTGCAGGGCCCATGTATGCAAATAATTTTTTAAAAAGCAAGTACTTCTCTCTAGTATGACATTATCTTTTATAAGACATTTATCAAGAGTATGGAGGGAAATTCTTGCCTTATATTTTTTAGTAATGACATCTTCCTTTGATCACTAGCATGCTAGTTTGACCAGTGTTGAAATGTCAGGCCACAAAGGCAGCCTCTTTTAGCCTACATTTCTTCAGGGGATGCCCGACCCAGATGCTAATATTAATGTTTCAAAGAATCGCTAACCAAACCAACAGGCATTGTTCGTCAACCTGTTCTCAAGAAGAACAACAATTTTCTATTGGCCACAAGTCACAAGGACTCATTTAGAAATACCCAACTTAAAATCCATCTCTATCTATCTGCATGGGAACAATGCCCTGCTGAAATATGCTCTTTTCTTGACTTTTTGACAAACAATACATGGAACAAAGGAACACAAAGAAAAAGTCAAGAAATGACAAATCACAAAAACTGGAAAGCCA